GGTCGCTGTCGCGGTAACTTCCGCTGTGCTCGCGCGCGTCGTTGGTGCGCCGTCGACGCGCTCGTCGTGGTGGCGCACGTCGTGTTTTGCCAGCTGTAGTTGGGCCTGGCTGTATCTGCTGAGGCTGCGCCGCACGATGGCGCGCGCCCCTTTGGTGGAGTGGCCAACGGCGGCGCCTCTCAGGCAGGGCGCTCTGGAACCCTGCGCGGAGTGGCAGCGCGGACCCGGTGCAGCGCGGTCGTTGGTAGCGAGCGGCCCCCAGGCAGTGCCGGCCAAAGGTCTGCGCCCGTCGGGGGCGCAATCCGTGCGACGGCGTGGCCGCTGGCAGCTGCTCACGGGCAGGACGCGCCAGGGGCTCGTTCCCAACGACGGCGCGGGCCCTGTTGCGGCGGGGCCGACGGGCGAGGCGCGTCGGAAACCTGGCGCGCGCCCCGGGCCTGGCCTGACTCGCTCGGGCCATGAGCGACTGGCGCGCTGGCGCGGGCGCAGCTGGCCACCCCCGCCGTCGACGCCGCCGGCCTGTTGTATATCGAACGCAGAACTGATGCGGAACGCGCAATGTTAGCAGCGGGCCGCTGGCAGCCACACGCCCGCACGCGCGCAGGGCCAAGGTGCGCGCGCCGCCTTCGTCGAGGAGGTCCGGCTAGGGCGGCAAAGGAAGACTGTCGTCACGCAGAAGCTTCTAACCTTGCACTACGCCCACAACAGCATCTGCAGTTGCGTCGTGAGTAACAAGGCCCAGATGTGACCGACCCTGGACGTTCCAAGCCTGTCCTGGTCACATGTTTGTGCGAATCCGCAGTTGTTCCCGCGTGCGCCGTTGTCCCGCAGATGACCAAACGTGAATAACTGCCCGGATTTCCGCCCCACGATAATGGCCCCGCCATGCTGGACTTGCCGGGGCTTCAGACTTGGGCGGAACACGTCGGCCATGTTCCGCGCGCGGCGGACGCCGCGCTCTGCGGCGGCAGAATTTTCCCGAGCGCGATGCAGAGCAACCCTTCGCCAGCGCGCGCTCCATATCCGACGCGCGGGAAGTGGGCCAAATTGCTCAGCGACAACCGCCGCGACTACAGCAGGGCCAGCTGTCCGCTGACTTGCGGCGGCGCTTAGCCATGCGATCCACGCGCCACGACCAGCATGCGTGGCGCGTTGGAGGTCGACGCGCGATCATCCTTATGGTTTCTGCGTCGTTCGCCCCGCGGGCGGCGCCGGGCCCGCTGGCCGGCGCGGGCGAACGAGCTGGTGCTCAAACCAAGCTCGGGCGCTGGCCAGACAACTCCCCCTTCTTCCTAAGAGCGGGTCAGCATTGGAAGCGCGCTCGGCTTCGCGTTGACGATGCGCGCTGTTATCTGGGCGCTGACCCCCCTGGGACGTTGCCCTCTCGTCACCTGCCTGATGGGAAAGATTGGGGAGACGGGGTCTCGCCGTGGGGCGGCGAGCGAAAACAATCCGCTGCGTCATTGCACGGGTGCGTGCATGCATAGCAAACGCACCCTGACCTTCCTTCAACCGCAAGGGTGGGCGGGTCGCAAGACGGCAGTGCGCGCGCTACACCGTTGGGAGCTCAGCTGCGGCACCGCTGAGGATGTCAGATGTCGCAAGTCGCGCAGCGCGATGTGCAACGTACTGCACCGCCGCACGCGCGCACGCTATCGCGACGACTTGCGGCTGCTGCGTGCCTGCGTGGCTCGCCAGGCGCACGTGCCAAGGCGCCCCGGCTGGGCGGCCCTGCTGGTTGTGGCGCGCAGACGGGGCTGATGACGATGAACGCAGCTTCGCGCTGCTCGCCGTGGTGCGCGGACGCGGAAGGCGTGTCTGCCCGAGCTGCGGTCGCAGCGTGATGGATGAGGCGGTCAACGCGCTGCTGCTGTGTTCTGCTGGCAATCGATCCCGGGCAGGCTGTCGCAGTGGACGTGGGCATGCTAACGCGATGGCAGAGCGGGCGTTGCCGCGTGAGTGGCCCAGCTTGCATCTGGGCGCGTAAGCCACAAATGCGCGTGCTTGAGGTTGTTGGCCCAAGAAGTGCCCTTTTGGACACCTGAAATGGGTGCGGCAAATATGGGTACACTGCCCAACAACAAATGTTGTCCCAAACCAACAGCGGCCGCTGTTGGGCAGGCGGCCTTCTGCGTCGAATGGGCACAGGCCACGGCGGCGCGGACAGCGAGTCCTGTCCAAGAAGAACAAGAACTGCTGTTGAGCACTGTACCAATTCTTTCCGTGACCATCTCGTTCGTGCAGAGTCCTCAGCCGCCGCGCGCGCCCGCCGGCGAATCCTGCATTGTAAGACGCTTGCCACTGAAGGGACAACTTCTCACATTTCTGTCCGAAACTGCCGTGACAGAGGGTGCGCGGATTGCCGTGTTGCCGAACGCCTGAACCGAATGGCACAGAGAAAGGCGCATACGTGATTTTGCGGCGATAGGCACAAGAAGCGTGTCAGCGCGCGCGAAGCTGCGCTCTCTGCGTTTGGCGCGTCCGAGCACCAGGGCGCAGAACATGCGCCAGAGCGAGGGGCAAGGGTGTGTCGTCAGATCAATGGCGCAGCTCTGCCCCGATTGCCTGTCAATCGTACTCAACATTGGTACCCTGTTGCGTAAGTGAACGGGCGGCGTGCCACTGGTGACACAGACGAAAGGATGCATCCAGGAAAACGCGCGGGGTGACACGCAGACTGTGCCAATTGCCGAACCAAACATGTGGTGTAAGCATTCCACGCAGCGCGCGGCAGGACAGCAATCGATGCCAGCGACATGCCTGGACACCTCATCATGAAAAGGACGCAGGTGTAGGTGGTAGTGAGGTCCCCGTCGGAGTCAATGCTGAAGGAAAACAGCACAACGAAACACGGCAGCTCGGATTTCCCGAACTGGTTGATGACGTTGATGGGACGAAAAATCGAATTGTCAACTGTCGTGGCGTAGCCGACGTGTTGGCTGAATCTGGACGTGCTGTATGCAGCCCGCGCTACATGCGTGTTTCGCCAGTTGCGGTCCACAACCGGGACAAAAACACGCATCGGAGACATCAGGCCGGTGGTACATAGCTTGATGCCCTCGAACGCCAATGTGGAAACCCTCGTCGATGAGACCCTTCCACGAAGTGAGCTGCAGAAGCGCTTTGGGGTTCGGGCGTGCGCAAGGACAAACATCATATTGAAGCAGGCGGCAGCCGTGGTAGTGGTGTTGCCCTTGGCTGGTGCCACTTGGGGCAAGACAGGCACACAACAAATCACTGTTCCACTCGGGTCGTGCGACGTGCTTACGTAAAGAACACCCAGCACCCGACTACGGATCACGAAACACGGCGCTGACCCAGGGTGGAGCCTCGCAGTCATGCCCGACGCGAAGCTGCGGCCAGTGCCTGTGGGTGCGATGGGTCGGGGGACATCGCGGCGCTCCCGTGAGCACGTCGCTCCACATCGCGGCAATGCCTGCAGCTGCCGTTGCCCTGCGCAGCTGGACTCTCACACGTTTCGTACGGCATACGGCGCTTGTCGTCAACACAACCTGTCCGCGTCCAGGGTGAATTCTCAGACGGCGAGAGGACGGAGAGCGGCGTCATGGAAGACGTTGGCAGAAGTATGCATGTGCGTCCACGTCGCGCTGCGCCGCGCTGCGCAGCTCCGTCGATCGCGGGCCAGGACTGCTCCCAGCACCGCTACCAACTGGAATTTCGGGTGGCAGCGGTGGAAAGTGAGAAACATGGCGGCGATGGTTAACACGAGAGATCGCAGAGCGGCGGGCCCTCTGCGAGCCACACAACACCGGACCCCTCCTATTCGAGCGAATGGCGGGATGAGGAGGACGGGGAGGAGCAGGAAGAGCACGACCAATGGAGGAGTGGACGCTGGAGGACAGGGAAAAAGGGGGGAGAGGGGGAGGAAGAGCGGACAGGGAAAGAGGACGAGTAATCAGAGGATCGGGAAGAGGATGGGACGACACGGAGGAACAGGAGCGGAGGGGAAGCGAGGGAAGGAGAGAGGGGCAATGAGGCACTAGGAGGACGACGAAGAGCACGATTCGGGTCGGCGCCGCGAGCGCGGAACGCTGCCGGAGGCTTGAAACTATGCAAGCCAGGAGCCGAAGGCCACCGCACAACCACTGCGTGGCGGCCCCCGGCGCCTCCCCCCTCCCCGCTGCTGGCGACGAGCGAAGCGCGCGCGGGAATCCCGGCCGCGGGACGGAAGAGCCGCTCCGTGGGGCCAGATCCCGGCCAGCCCAGCGGCCCACCGCACCGCGAAGTCGTTGTGGACCAGTGTGGCCCTCTCACCAGGGAGCTGCATCCCGGGGTCCAGGCTTCCCCGGCAGCCGCCCCCCTGGCTTGCCCCAGGCGCCCCCCTGCTGCTCCGAAGGCCGAAGGCCGAGGTCGAGGAGTAGCAGAAAGGCCCCAGCCAGGAGCAGAAGAAAAATCAGACTTCACAAACATGGCTTTCGGAACTGCGCGCGGACGTCTTGGATCGACGCCGGGGCCCGCCTTTCCCCGGCGAGGGTAGCAGGCCAGGAGCGGCGCTGGAGGCGCCGTCCGACGGGTACAACACAGATCCAAGAACTCCGCACGCACCTCCGGAAATGACAGTCATGCTGTGTTCGAGAGAGAAGCGTCAAGGCATGGCATGTGGCTGAATCTGGCTGGCCTCGCGCCGCTTCCTGGGGGCTGGAGCCTCGGTCAAGGCAGCAGCAGGATCCATCAACACCATACCAGTTCTTTTGGCGGATCGAGGAGGAGGAGGAGGAGGAGGAGGAGGAGAAGGAGGGGAGGAGGAGGAGGAGGAGGAGGAGGAGGAGGAGGAGGAGGAGGAGGAGGAGGAGGAGGAGAAGGAGAGGGTGGAGGAGGAGGAGGAGGAGGAAGGAGAGGGTGGAGGAGGAGAAGGAGAAGGACTAGGGCGGGGGGGAAGGAGGAGGGAGGGAAGGAAGGAGGCAGAGGAGGGAGGCAGAGGAGAAGCAGCAGGACGCCGAGAGGCAGAGCACCGGGAGGGGGAAGGAGCTGCGGAGCGCCTGGTGATGCGCTCGTCGAGCTTGAACTTGTGTGCCAACTCCGTGATCTGCGCGCCGCTGCTGCCCGAACGGGGCAGACCGACGCCGAACCCGGTTCCGAACGTTGAGGACAAGGGCGGCGAAGTCAACGACGACGGCGGTGAGGGTCACGACGACGGCGACAACGACGACGACGACAACGACGACGACGGCGGCGGCGGCGGCGGAGGCGGCGGCGGCGGCGGCGGCGGCGGCGGCGGCTGCGGCTGAGGCGACGGAGACGTCGGCGTAGTGAGAACAAACCCTCCAGAGGAGGGGAGGAGCCCCTGGGCGAGGTCGAGGAGCAGCAGAACAAGGAACAAGACAACGACGAAAGCGGCGAGACAGAGGAGAATGGCAACGATAAGAACGTAGGGGAAGGACCGTGCACGCAGCCGCCAATCCTCCGCGCGGTCCATTTGGGGCCAGACCTTTGCATACATCTTTGGACGCCCGAACTGGACGCGCAAAACATGGGTACGACCCTTAACAACACGTGTTATCCAAAACCGGTAACAGCCGGTGTTGGGCAGGCGACTTCGTGTCGTCGTCGTGAGTTGGCAACGTCCGTGGCGACACTGAAAGGGAGTCCTGCTCAGAGTGAGCAGGAACTGCTGTCGGCTTTTTGTCGAAATTCTGCCTGTTACCATTTCGCGTCTCCAGAAAATCGCGGCCCCAGGCCAGGAAGGAATGGAGGGAAAGAAACACGATGTCCATGACCAAAACTGAACGCAGACACGTCGGCGTCGATCTTGGTCATCGCCCATCTTGGTCACCGTCCATTTGTTGACCATCCTCGCGAATCGGCGACGACCGACATGGACAGCGACCAGGATTGGTGTAGACGCGGCCCCCGTGACACAGTGGTCATGATCACCATGCGCCTTTCCTCGAAAAGAAGCCAGATCGTGACATCGAGATGTGGCCCGGCCATGGCAAACTGCAACACATAGGTCGCCACCATAACTAAATCCCCCCCCCTTCTTCCCACAGATCCCAGGATTCCCCCTATTTTCCAAGATTTGCTGGGCTTTTGTCCTCCCCCCCACTTCCCATATTTTCTAATATTTTCTGGGGATTTGACGATGAATTGTGTCTGTGGTGGTTTTCCCTCCTGACCCTTTTCTTCACTCTTACTTCCCATATTTTCCTATATCTGAGGGTTTTGCCTTCCCCCCCACTTCCCATGTTGTCCCAAATTTTCTGGGGAATCGACGATTCATTGTGTCTGATTGGGGAATTGACGCTGTTCTGGGAAATCGACGATTTTCGGGAGAATCGACGATCTTCAGGGAATCGACGATGTTCTTGGATGATCGACGATTTTCTCGGGAATCGAGGATTTGTTGGGACTTTCCCCCCCCTGATTCTTGTCCAGCAGCCTCGCTGCACGGGCGCAGACCAGCGGCCGTGCCCTGCCCCGAGGGCGCCTTCCGCCCGGGGCCGGGCGAGGACCTCCGGGAGGCCCACGCGCGGCGACTTGGACGCCACGACCGCGGCGTCTCGGGGGCGGCCAAGAGGGGGGCGTCCAACCCCGACTCCAGATCCGCCCTACACCCTGCGAAATGCTTAAGAAATCATGGGTTAAGAAATTCATAGTCTCAGAACTTGAATAAAAGCCCAACGTTCCCATTAACATCTTAAGATTTACATTGGAACGTTAAGAACAATCGAGACTCTGGCCGAAAACTTGAGTTTTCTTAAGCATCGCCTAAGGTGTACTCTGGCTTTTCTTTCCAGCTTACAATTGCGTCGGGTATCCACCTATGAGAAGCCGCAGAAGTAGGGCGGACATCTCTGCACCCGGCATAGAATAGGGCGGAAATCCACAGAAGCAGGGCGGAAACAGCAACAGAAAAAAAGGGCAGAAATTGGCATCAGCGGGGCTTGAAAAGTAAGGCAGAAATTCCAAGCCCTACTTACGAATTTCCCAGAAAGGTAGGGCGGATCCGGAGTCAGGGAAGAGGGGGGGTGCAAATCATGGCCGGCGGCACGTGCGCGGCCCAGCGGGGGGGGCCAGGGACGCATTGAGACAAGAAGCGGGGTCATGGAATCAGGGGAAGATTCATGGCACCCGCCATGAGATCCCCCCCCCCTAGTCATCACCCCCCTCTTTGCCGCCCCCGAACGCAGGAGCTCCAGCGGGGTGACAGGGAAGAACAGGACGACCCCCTCCGCAACCGAGTCCATGGATCTAGGGATGGTTGAGACCAGCGGGGGCTGGCAAAGCCACGGCTGCGCAGTGCTCGCGCTGAGCCACCCTCGAGAGCCAGGGCGGCTTGAGCCAACATGGCTACGGAAAAGCAACCTCGAACCTTGTTCCCCCTGGCCCTGCGGTCGGTGCGGGCGACAAGTGGGGGTCTGCCAGTCAGCTCGCGTGGCGCCAGAAGCGCCCATGCATCGAGGAGAGTACCAAGCGGACGGACCAGCTGCAGCGTATTCCCAAAGCACCACCCGTTTCCCCTATCCCCCATGTCGTCCGACCCGATGTTCGAGGAGGAGGAGGAGGAGAAGGAGGAGGAAGATGAGGCGGAGGAGGAGGAGGGGGGGGAAGGAGAAAGAGGAGGAGGAGGAGGAGGAGGAGGAGGAGGAGGAGGAGGAGAAGGAGACGGAGGACGAGGAGGAGGAGGCGGAGGAGGAGGAAGAGCCATTGAGAAGAACGCTCTTTCATGACGACTGCTGGGGGCACTCTCAACGGGAGCACGCGGCTCCGCGATCCGATCGCCCCCGTGCGGAACAGCCTTAATCGACGTCCAAGAACTGCCGGTCGTATCCTCCGACTGTTGAAGGGGCCCAGGGACACACAAATAAATACACATAGATCCGCCGACCCTGTCGGCGTGTGGAATGGGTTGTTCTTCTCATCCGTGCCTCCTTCCCTTTCCCACCTTCTCCGTTTCCTTCTCGTTCGTCTCCTCTTTCCCCCCCTCCTCCTTCTCCTCCTTCTCCTCTTCCCCCTCCTCCTTCTCCTCCTCCCTCTCCCTCCTCCTCCTCCTCCTCCTCCTCCTCCTCCTCCTCCTCCTCCTCCTCCTCCTCCTTCATCTCTGCCTCTGGCGTAAGGTAAATTGACTCGAAGGGTTTCCCCTTCCCTTTATTCCCTTCCCCGGCCCGGGGGGGGGATCCCAGGGGAAGCCCAGGGGGGGTCCTGGGGGGGGGGGGGGGGTCCCGGGGGGGGTCCTGGGGGTGTCCCGGGTCAGAATGCCACCTCCCTCCTCCTCCTCCTGAGCGTCTTTTGCCACCTTCTCCATCTCCTTTTCGTTTGTCTCCCCCTCCTCCTCCTCCTTCCTCCTCCTCCTCCTCCTACCCTCCACCCTCCACCTCCTCCTCCTCCTCCTCCTCCTCCCCTCCTCCTCCTCCTCCTCCTCCTCCTCCTCCTCCTCCTCCTCCTCCTCCCCCTCCTCCCCCTCCCCCTCCTCCTCCTCCTCCTCCTCCTCCTCCTCCTCCTCCTCCTCCTCCTCCTCCTCCTCCTCCTCCTCCTCCTCCTCCTCCTCCTCACACACTTCCTCAGCCTACCCTATCACGTTGTCCTTTAGCTCCTCCCTGTGATCAAACATCCTGTCGCCATCGACAGCCAAAACATTCAGGGTCGGCGGCACCGGCCGGAAGGCCTTCACAATAAATACACACAGACCCTAGGATATCCCATATGTCTCCATATTTTTATTGTAATTTCGTCTTCCTCCCTACTTCCCATATGTTTCACTATGTTCAGGGGAATCGGCGATGAATTGTGTCTGTGTGTTTTTCCTCCTGAACTGTATCCGCCGAAGCACACGTCGATCGGCGACGCCGACCAGGGACTGCACGAGCCCTCCGTCAGTATTAAAAAGGTCGTGCGAAAGGGGTGCCGAACTCCTTCAATCGACTCGCCCGGGTGGGAGCTCTCTCGGAGACGGGGCCGACGGAGCTCCTCCTCCTACTCCCCCTCCTTCTCCTCCTCCTGCTCCTCTTCCTTCTCCGCCTCCGCCTCCTCCTCCGCCTCCTCCTCCTCCGCCTCCGCCTCCTCCTCCGCCTCCACCTTCTCCTCCTCTTCTTACATTCAACAAACTTTTGGAAAGTACCCGTGGCGCTTTCCCTCCTCCTCCTACTCCTCCTCCTCCTTCTCCTACTCCTCCGCCTCCTCCTCCTCCTCCTCCGCCTCCTCCTCCGCCTCCTCCTCCTCCTCCGCGGCTCTCCCGACCGGCCCACATCGAATCCGCCGAACATCCCTCCCCCGTCCCCCTCTCGGGGGTCCACTCGGGCGGGATCTTCGGAGCAGGGCCCGCCGCGGCGGGGGGAGGCCTCGGGGAGGCCCCGCAAGAACACGAAGAGCGCCAGGGAGGACCGCCATTGTTGCGACTGGCCTTCCGCCAAGGTGCCCTTATACAGTACTGATTAATCAAAAAAGAACCCCTAACCCTTTGGGAGGGGGTCTCAACTAGGAGGGCCAACAGCATTAGGAATAGGGGGTGGCTTCTGGAGACGTATCAGACCAAACCGCCCAGATGTATTATCCCTAATGCGGCGACGGGTACCTCAGTGAGGCCACGTCTTCAACGTGTTATGTGGGTTAGGAGTTCTTCTGTTTTCGCTGAGATGTAGGGAGAAAGACGCGGATCGGGTGGTAAGGGGGTGACTTGGGGGGTGAAGAAAGCGGCCCTCAGGATTCCCGTTTGGGCCCCTCCTGTGGCCCAAGGCGTCCCTCGGGGGTTCTGAGAACCACTTAGGGACCATCTGCCCCCCTCTTACCGACGGCCCGAGAAGACGAAGAAGTCCGAGGTCCTCCGGCCTGCCGGGTGCGCGGGATGCGCCAGCCTCCGGGTCGATGGTCTGGGACACGCTCTGGTCGTATGCCTGGGCGGCCTGCAGCGTGTACTGCGACCTCGCGGCTCGCGTCCGCCGCAGCCGCCACGGATCCCACGAGAGACGTACGCGCCCAACCACGTGCGTGAAGGCATGGATGCGGAAGGGACCGGAGACCTGCTGGGAGGCCTCCACTCGTGCCAGCCTTGCGAGCGCCCTCCTCCACCTGCGCATAGGCAACTGACGCGCGTGCCTCGGCTTAATTTCTGCGTACGCCCCCCACCCACTCCAGTTAGGACGCAACTCCTGCGAGGCCCTCGTGAGGACGATCAAGGGCTATTGAGACAGAAATAAGGGGCCATGCAACCGCATTAGCCCCGACGAAGCCCAATATTGAATGATATTAGGCGGAACTAAACCGGATTAGGCTGGCCTTCGCCCGCGAATATGCCAGTGCCGAAGCTGAAGTTCATTTTCGAACACTTGCATGCCAACGGTAGGACAAAATAAGAAGGCACAAACAAATAAAAACGTATGGTCCGCGCGGCCCTATGATTTTTGGGTCAGCGCTGGGCCCCCCCCTCCCCCTGGCGAGCAAGGCGCGCTAGGGGCGGCACGGGGGGCGCCGCTGGAGAGCTTGGAAGCGGCAAGCTGGAAAGCTGGAAACAAGGTGACGGCTCGAATAATTATTAAAACCCGAAAACTGAAAGCCGCGAAGCGGAAAGCTGGACAACGGTGAGCTGGACGGCTGAAGCCTGGGAAAACCGAAAACCGGCAAACTGGGAGGGGGGCAAGGTGGAAAGCGGGAGGGTTTCGAAAGCCGGAGCGCTGGGCCCGAAAAGTCCGCGCAAA